GCTTGAGGGATGGTTCAGTGGTTAAGAGCACTGCTTGCTCTTGCAGAGGACCCGGGTTGGGTTCCCAGCACCACATGGTGGCTAACAACCATTTGTAGCTTCACTTCCAGGAGATCTGATGTCCTCTCTCAGCTCCACCAGCATTCCCTGACAAGCATGTATGTATACAATACAATACACTTATACACTTGAAATAAAAATAATAAATAAAAATTTAAAAATCATTATGCAGAAGTTATAATCTTAGCTATGCTAATTAGTTCATTTTTCTGCAGACATTATAAAATCCTTGAGGAAGAGAAGCATTTCTTACCTTTTGCATAATGCTTAAGTGCATAATGTGAAAAACTACGTAAAAAGAGATAAACATTTTTGTTGAACTGAGCAAATAAAAGAGGTATAATGAACAGCCTGTGATAAGTATTTGCTGAGTCTTGTACAACCTCTGATATTTGCTTGGATTATTAAAACAAATGTTTTATTTCCATTTATTTGTAGGAGTAAAAAAGTTTTTAAAATGTTAAAAATGCTTATATTTTGAGACAAGAACCTAAAGTCCCTGGCATTCAGCCAGTACTGCAATTCTAGTATTACATCCAATAAAATGAAACAATACCTGCCTCTCACTTCTGTACCCTGTTCAGCTCCCACACGGTGTTCTCCAAATGTTCTTCTCGTTCTGCAAAAGTGTGTTTGCTTCCTGTCTTGCCTTTTGCCATTGCTTACCACAGACACTCTAATGGTGTCTTCTGGCACTATCAGTTCAGCAGCTTTCATTAAACGCCTTGTCTCTGGGTCCTACTGTGGTCAAATTAAATAAGTGGAAACTGGTAACCACTGAAAATAAACAGCAACTGCAAAGTTCTGCTTCTCAGAAAATGTCTGCATTGTTCTCTGCTTGCCTCATGGATTCTAAGATCTCTACTGCTTCCTTGCGTTCAGTTCACGGTTCAGTCAGAAAATTCTTTTCCAAAAAGTGACCCACATTTTTCAGACAGTGGGGGAGGAAGGAAAAGAGTTTGAGAAAATGAGTAAGGAGGGGAATAAGATTGATGTTAGCTTTGATTCCATTCAGTAGGTCTGCTTTTTCAGGCTTTAATCTTTTTCTTTGTAGCAAGGATAGTGTTTTTGATGCTCTGTTTCAGGCTGCCTCCCTGGGTGACTGCAGATGTGCTGAGCCATTTGGCTGCTGTGTGGACCGACCCAGAGTGCCTCTCTTCCCCCTAATGAAGTCATCTCTGCCTGCAGCCTAGCCTCTCCCATCACTCCATGTTGGAACTTGGCTTTGGCGTACATAGTTCTGTCATGATGTAGATGGTCTTCCAGTTAAGTTCTGGGGAAAGCTACCCAGCTTAGCACAAGACATTTATAGGAAATGAGAAAATTATTTTACTTTGTTTTATTCTAATTACTTTAAAAAGTAATCATACAAAATGATTGGTTCCTTATGACATTTCATGTATATATGTTATTTAGAGGGAAGTGGGAGAAGGGATTGGATAAGAACAAAACTATCTTACTGAAAGAACTACACTGAAATATTTTTTGTTGTTGTTGAGACAGGGTTTCTCTGTAGTCCCAGCTGGACTGGAACTCTCTATGTAGACCAGGGTGACCTTGCTCTCACAGAGATTTGCCTGCCTCTGTCTCCTGATTGCTGAGATTAAAGGTGGCTCTATTTAAACAATTTATTTAGAGGCTTGAGGAGACAAAGGCTCAGTATGTGTTTTCAAACCCTCTTCTGTCCCTCACATACCATCTTCTCTCTCTCTCTCTCTCTCTCTCTCTCTCTCTCTCTCTCTCTCTCTCTCTCCCCCCCCCGTATTTCAAGTTAAAATGTAATGAGATTGCACCTTTCTCAGGATTCCTTTCTATGTTTTAAAGCAGGCATCAAATATCTCATATTGTTCTGCATTTCCTGGAAAACCAGAGGCTTAAGTATTAGAATGTATGCTCCTAATGTATGATCCTCTTTAAAATTTATGATACACTCTTGAAGGACTGGGTTTCCTTTTGTAGGGTTTTTGAAAATCAGCGAAGGTGCATTTATAATCTATTGCTTCCTTTCCCAATTCAAGCGGCATACTTTGTTTGGTTGTACCTAAGATCAGCAGATCAGCGAACTGAAACATGAACTCTTTGTTTTTTTCAATTTGAGTAGGACTGGATTCTTGTGATCCACAGCCCAGCAACAGATACTGTTATGTCTAAGAACACTTTACCCGATCAACAAAAAGGAGAAGACTGAAATGTGATCCTAACCAACCTTGGAAGGAGGTGTAGATGAAGATATTGAAATTCCCTGGAGACCCACCTGCCACCTACACCTTTCTGTTCCAAGTCACTGGCCGACTGCCCCTGAGCTCCGCCAAGTTCCTTAAGACAAGATCAAGATGAGGAAACAGGCACATTGCTTCTGGCTTTTGGATTCTTGTAGACATCACCACTATGAATGAAGATCTTTCTTTATCAAATAGGATATTTACATATACAACATCCCCAGCCAGGCATGGATCTCAAGGGGTCACTCACAGAATGAGATTTTAATTACCATTTGATTTAGATTTAAGTGTAATATATGTGTAAATATATTTTAGCTTAGAGAGCCATAAAAATATTCCCTATTCAAAAGCATTCAGTAGTCCTGGCAGGCATTGGAGAATCAGAAATAATTGCTTTCTAATACTCTTTGAAGAAATAAAGCTTTCAAGAATACTTACATAGAGTTAGGGAAATGGCTTAGTCAACAGAGCACAAACAGGAGGACCTGAGTTCAGATCTCCCACACCTACCTAAAAAAGCCAGAGTACCACTGCTCCTGTCTGCAACCCCAGTGCTAGGGAGGTAGAGACAAGAGGATCCCTACAGCTCAAATGATCAATCAGTCTAGTCAAGCAATGAATGCCAGGTTCAGTGAGAGCCCCTGTCTTAAATAAGGTAAATAGTGATTTAGGAAGATGCTAGATGTTAGCTCTGACTTCCATGTATAACAGTGCACACAGGGGAACACTAACATATATTTAGCACACACAAATACATACACACACACACAAAACACAACTTACTTAGTGCTTACAGACTATCTATAGTGTACCTGGTAACTATCTATAATGTCCCATCATATATAGATGGTATAAGCATTGAAAATATTAATCTACTACTAGTTGCATGTTTCTTCTTTACTTTTCCTTTGTAGAATTTTTTAACTTAACTTTATTATGAAAGGGGAGAAGGATAGTAGTGAGATAAGCTTGTAGACCATGAATCTGTCACAGAGTAGCCTAGGGCTACTCAAAGTAGGTTTACTCAAACTTAAGAAAGATCTACCTCATTTCATTCCAATGAAAATACACCAAGTTTTGTCTTCCTTTTTGTGAATGAATTCACGTTGACTCAAGAGTTGTGTTCTGGGCTGGAGTGGGTGGTATACTCCTTTAATCCCTGCCCTGAGGAGGCATAGGCAGATCTCTGTGAAATAGAGGCCACCCTGGTGTACATAGTGAGTTCCAGGCCACCTGGGACTATTGGGAGACCCTGTCTCAAAAAAAGAGGGTGCTGTGTTCTGGTCAAATGTCTATAACCTTGGAAAAATCACTTTATGTATTTGGCTGTGCTTGCATGTTAAATGCAATGGTTTGAGTCTGATACTGAGTTATGACTGTTATTCTAAACCATAAGTGAAGTTTCAGTTCTATGAATGGTAGTACAAAAGATAAATAATTCACTGCCAAACTGATTTGCAAATGACCCATGGGATAATTATGTCAGTCATTACTGTGAGCTGATATGTAAACCATTGGAGAATGAAATTGTCTTGATAAATTTACTACCTGATAAATCTACCACCTGTTTATCATTTTAAATCCATGATCCTGTTGAATTCATACACCTTAGGAGAAAAATACACTTGCACAGGAATGTAGGTTACTAATGGTTTTAAACTGTGAGTTGTAACCAGTCTAATTAGAGTAAAGACTAACTTTCTGTCTTAATAACTACTGCTTCTTCTGAAGTCTGGTGTTTGATAGAATTTTCAAAGAAAAATTGGGGAGAATAATTATAGGAATATTTCCATATCTGTGTAGGAAGAAAAGTTTGTAAGTGTTGTAGTAACCTCAGTTACTTTAACTTGTCCTGTGAATTTGTTCTGTTCCTATTATATAAAGTCACACTAGACTTCAAAGTAAAGGAAAGTCCAAAGTCCCTCTTTTCTGAGGAGTAGAAATCCTTTGTGTCAACTGGTTGACCCTTTGCTCTGTAAGGTCCTAATGGAAGTCCTTTGTGACTCAATGAAGGGTGTTAGTCCATGAATTGATGTTGTTTACATCGCGAGGTGGTCCAGAGTGAAAAAAAATTATAAAGGTGAAAGATTCCATTTCCTAACAATATAGAAAGTGACTGATAAACCCAAGGAGTCTCTGTTATGCAGAAAATACTTAGGGATCCTGTGAAAAATAGAGGGAAAGGAAGAATAAAGAAAACAAAGTACGTGTACACAGAGATGAGGATTTGTGTTAGAGAAAAGAGAATTCTCTTTGAATGGGACAAGGGATTGCCTGGGGGAATTTCCTGTCCAGCCCTTTATTACCAGGGTCTTTGTGTAACCGCCTGATGCCGCGGCTCCCCATTGGGCAGCTCCCTGGGGAGGACAGTGGGGGCGCTTACACTTCGCCGCTGGGGCTTAGATGGTGCTCACTTTCTATGTATCTCTTTCAGGTTGGCAGGAGCCTTGAGCCTGACACTTCTTCAGCTGGGACAGGCAAGCTCTGCGGGCGCATAAGCACGTTATACCCAAGTTCGCTGCTGATTTTATAGAGTTCTTCTGCTCCTAAGAACTAACCATACTCAATTGTTCTCGTGCTTGCCTGCCCCACAAGAGAGTGGAGGCTCCTTTCCTCTAATTCAGGGCGGGCAGTCCAGGGGCGGGGAAGAGGAGGTGGGGAAGGGTGGGAAGGCTGTGGTTTCCTTGAGCCCAGCGCGTTGTTAGGAGAGAGCCCCTGAATGAGGAGCGCTACTGTCCCCTAGCCGATTGGTACTTCTTGTCAGGAAGAAAAGCTGAGAGGTGGGAGTGACTGGGGAAGGAGGCAGGCGGTCCCTACAGCCGGCACTGGGAGCTCCTTTCCGCCCCTCCGCCTGTATCCCAGCCTGGGCTCTCTGGAGTGGCTGAGGCTGCGGAGCGCTGCTGGAGCCTGTGAATGAACCCTCCTCCTCTCCCTCCTCCTTCTCCTAGCTGAGTCTCCTCCTCGGCGCTGACGGTACAGTGATATAATGATGATGGGTGTCACAACCCGCATTTGAACTTGCAGGCGAGCTGCCCTAAGCCTTTCTGGGCGAGGAACTCTAGGCGTGCGGGCGCAACAGTCGCGTACGTTAGGTGCTGTGGACAGGCGCTGGAACCTAGGTCTGCTTACCAGCGGCGCATCCTCCCTCATCTCTAACACAGTCCTGCACCCTCCTCATCCTGCCCCAGGCCACCGCGCTTCCTATGAGACCTGCGGGACAACGCGGAACCCATTCGCACTGCGGAGCGGTGAAAATTTCCCCCAAACTGCAATAAGCCGCCTTTCAAGGTAATCGAATTTCTTTTGTTCCCCCTTTAAAAGGGGGGTGGGGGGCTCACAGGGAAAGGAAAGCTGCCGAACTTGGGGGGGGGGAAGAGGTACATTGCAATTGGAAGAGGGCTTTAATTAAAGGTAAGAGCACTAGCTATAGGGTGAAGTTAAGAAAATGTCCGCACCTAAAAAATGCAGGTAACTTTCAAAAAAGGTTCTTGGAGAGAGGAATACTGAGAGATCTTGGTGCTGAAAAAGATCTAGACAAAAGAAACAAGGGGTGGGGTGGGGGAAAGGACTAAAGCGAATAGGGGGAAGGGATTTTGTACAGAAATCCTAGAAAAGTCGTGCTATCTGGACTAGGAAGAATGGGAGGGACGCCTCACACCTTGATTTTTGTTGTCTTAACACGGTTGGGGCAAAAAGTTTGAATGGGAACTCCCAAGGCTTGCCCAAATACAAGTCACCGAAATCATTTTGGGCCAGACCACCTGGTTCCCTGGCCCCTGGTGTGTAGTCAATGAGGCGGGTTCCTGGAAAGCCACTCCTGGGCAGCTCCTGACAAGGCAGCTGGGTACCACTGCAGCCCCGGACGTGACCCGTCGGCAATGTGGAAGGCAGTCCAGCAAGGATTGTGCAGGGTTCCCCGGCTGCGCTTCTTTGATGACTTGGGCGCTGTCAAAGCTCTCTCCAGTGGCCCCTGGGTTCTTTTGTCCTGCGCGCGGTGCGCTGGGGCGAGCCGCTGAGGAGCAGGGGATGGGGGTGGGGTTGTTGGAGCACCCTGGAGGTCTGGGAGGCGCCTGGGCGGGAAAGATTCCCCTAACCCAGCTGGGATGTGTGATATTCTCGTTACTGTCTTTTCTTTTCTTTCTTTTCTTTTCTTTTCTTTTTTCTTTTCTTTCTTCCTCCCTCCCTCCCTTTCTCCCTCTCTCCTTCTCTCTCCTTGCCCTGAAAAGCGAAATGGGGACTGTCGCTCCCAACTCAACCAGCAAACCAGTAGTACCCAAAGCACTCTCCAGACAAAGGTGGCACGGAGACCCAAATTAGGGACCGCTGGGTTCAGTTCTCTCGCCTGGATTACAGCAGTCCCAGCGCCCTTCGGTTTCTCCACCCGCTCCGCTCCGTGTTCTCCACTTTAGTTGAGCAACTTTACTGGCCAGTAGGGTGGTTGCTGAGAGAGCGTGCGGGTAGTCTCCGATGACGCCCGGGCTAGGAGAGTCCCAGTGCCCTACGAAAGCGTGGGCCCTGCGGAGCCACTTCTCTGGTGCGTGCAGACCCAGGACATTACAGCTGTCCCGACTTGTTCTGTGTCACTGGGCGTGGAGTGGTCAGGGAGTTAGTGGAGAGAGGGATTGGAAAATAATGTCATAGCCTAAAGTATTTGCTCTCGGATCCAGCTGCACCTCTGCATGTCCCGCGTGTTCTCTGGCGATTCTGCGGAAAGGGGAAGAAATATCCCCGGAGGATACCGAGTTGTACCGCCTAGCGTATCCCCGCAGTACAGTCTCGTTCTCTGGGTCCCCCTCTTCATCTTTGTGTCTCCTCTGTCTCCATCTTCTCTGCCTGCTTTCGCCTCTCCGGGTCGCCTCTCCTCTTTGGCGTCCCCTCCCCCACGGCTGACAAATGAATGGCTGGTGTGAAATCCCTTCCTTCTGGGTCGGAGGAGGCTGGCCTGGAGGGAGGAGTAAGGGGGGCGGTGCGCTCCTTGCGAGCTGCCTGCAGTTTGGGACTTGCAGAACACAGATGTCTAGGAATAGGGATTTTTGTGGTAGGCGTGGGCTCCCCCTGACGGAGGAATTCAGCACTAGCTGAGAAAAAGAAGGCCCACTGAACCCCTTTCACAACCGTACGAGAGGAGAATCGGGTTTTCCCTTTGGCAGTTAGTCTTTAACTCTGGAATCTGCGACACGAATCCCGGGGTTTGGAGGAGATAGAAGAAAGGGAATGTGGTCATTCGAAGTGCAGAGTCCTCCCAGCAGCCTGCGGCGACGAGTGACGCCTGCAAACACGCTAGCGCCCAAGCCAGGTTGGGGGGTTCTTAACGAGCAATTTTCGCATCTTTAAGAAAGGTAACGCCAAATACTTGCTTTTTTTTTTTTTTTTTTTTCCCACCAAGAACCATGATCATTTGAACCCACTGTTAGGGACCCGGTCCAGGACATTGCAGAAGGCCCCCTAATCCAAAACTTATACTTCTTCCTCAACTTCAGGACACTTGGAAATTGGGGACAAGGAGAGCGCCGCGAGGCAACGAAAAGGAAAAGATAGGGAAATAAAGAGGACAGTGGAGGAAAGGCAAAAAAGAAAGGAAAGCTGAGAAGGATGCTTGCAAATAGCCGGGGGCAGGAAGGGACCGTTTCCAAAATTTTCTTTGAAATTTCGTGTCCGGGTTTTTAACATTTTCTTTTCCGCTCAGAGCAGTTACAAGAGCTTCGGTGCCTGCGGCTGGGATGGGAGCGTGGGGGAGCTGCACTAGCAGAAGTAGTCCGGCTCCGCCTATGCAAGTCTGAGTCGGGGAAGGCTGCTTTCCATAGCTCAGCGGGCGCGGCCGAGAGGGACCCGACCAGCTTTCCCTTCAGCGCCAGGGTTTGCCAGCCGCCACGTGGGCTGCAGCTTCTGCTCAGGGCGCGAGACGGGTGTGACTTCCTGGGCTCGGAGACAGCTGCACAGCTGCAAGGGCGATCTGCTCAGCTTAGGTCTGAGATGAGGGGCGGGGCCGGGCGGACTCGGGTGGGGCCTTGGCAGGCGGAACGCACCAATAGCCTAAGGCTGGCAGCAGCTGGAGCCAACCCAACTTCTAGCCAGACAGCTCTCAAATGCTCATGCTGAAAGGCTTTTAAATACTTTGTCCTCCCTTGTTTCTTGGTGCTCAAGGTACACGGTTTTTGCTTTTAGAGGAGGGAAAGTAAAATTTTACTACAAGTAAACTGTCGGCATAAAAACGGGACGTTTGTGATTGCCCCAGGTATCCATTTAAAAATGGTTCAAGTCTGTTTAAAGATCATTTTTAGTCAACTACAAGATTAATCACGTTTCATACTGGCATAGTGTGTAGAATGGAAAAGTAATACTGCTGTTTAGGAGGAATGATATATTTCCTCAAGCACAAAGTTAAAAGGTTGCAGTTGTAACTTGGAGGTTCTTGCACAGCACCTTTGAGTGAGCAGACCTCCAAATAGGTGCTCAGCACGAGTTTACTAAACGGCTAAACAAAAACCTGGGGGCAGGGGGTGGTGTGTGTGTGTGTGTGTGTGTGTGTGTGTGTGTGTGTGTGATGAGGTGAAACAAACTAGACACTTCTACACTTTAAATTCTCCATGTTCTAATTTGGAAGAGTCGGGTTAATGACCTCCTCTGTCACCTTAGGTTCTATTGTTAATTGGTATTTTTTTCTCTCCTTTTTGTTTCCTTCTAAAAGCTGTGGCCTAAATTGTGTTAAATATGATTTGACAACTGTCTCATACTTTTTGTGAAAATATTCATATAAAACCCCCCAAAATGATATTTTGAGTTTAATATACAGATAGGAAAATGTTAATAAAAGCATCAAATGATTTTCTGAGATAGAGTGGGTTCCTAGGTTTGGAAGTGTGTAACTTGTAAGGGCAAGGCAGCAAGGAGGGTGTCTCAAGGGACCTGAGTTGGAGTTCTGAGCTCTGACTAGGAAAGGAATATTTGACAAATTGCATATGCCTACCCCTATTAGTACTACAAACAGTTCCAATGGATTCTGAAGAAATTGAGCAATCACTTCCTTGAGTAGGAAGTTCACAGCCCTTAATCTTCTTGTGAGCCATGGAAAGAAGGATGAGATTTGAAACCATCACTCAGAATTGATGCAGTTCAGTTTTGTTTTTCTTGGTAGTTTAAGAAGTTCAACTTCATAAGTCATATTTCTTCCCTTTAAGGAATTTAAAAAGAAGCTCCTCAGGTTTATGTATGTTTATACAGACAGCTAGGCTTCTTTTTCTTTGCTTTTGCAAATTGCAGGCAAATACCTTTGATAGTCCAAGCTACCTATATTTGTGCTCTAGTAAATGTCTGTTTGGAAAGAATCTAAAGAGCTAACACAAAGCTGAATATGATTACTGTGGAGGATGTACCCATTGTTCTGTCTTCCCTTACATTCCTATTCTTAAACACTGTGGTTAATGATTGGTCAGTAATTGAGTATCCTGGAGCCTTTGAGAGCACAAAGACCAACTAACTCTGTCCCCTCTAGGTCATACACCTAAACTTTCCTTTCCTGTTAGAGCTTAAACATTTCTGTTGACTTTATTCAGGGAGACACTGCATTTCAAGTGGCATAGTGCTCTGGAAAGAACAGAACCTCTGTAGACACATGGTTCTTTTGAGGGTAAGAATGGGTGCTTATAGTAGGTTTTTTTTTTTTTTTTTTTAACCACCCACCTAGAGAAATCAGTTAGGAGACAGACAAACACTCATTGTTAGGAAGTTACTTGCTTCCTTTCTCTGGTCTGAAAAAATATGCTGCTTGTTGCATAGGTTTGTGCTTCATCAGAAACACAAAGCCTGTACTCTTTATGCTCTGAAATGAGAACAAGGGACAGTGAGATGATTTCTTGACCAAGAACCAGTTAAGTTAGTGAATTTTGCAATTTAACCTTATAACCTACTCCTGGTAAATTTTATGTATATATATATACATATATATATGTATATATATATGTGTGTGTGATTTTATATTTTAGATAAATTTATAGATTTTTAGAAAAGATGCTAAGTTCTTAAAATTGAATATGCCAGGGGTAGTTTTCTATAAAGAGATAGGACCTTTGTTTAAAGTGTTTGTTGATTATCCTTTCTAAACCTCTTTTGATCAACTGTCATTCATAGAAGAGTAAATATGTAGAACTGTCAGAAAATATCTATTTTGGGGGCCAGAGGGATGGCTCAGAGGTTAAGAATGCTTACCTCTCTTCCAGAGGACCTGAGTTTGGTTCTTAGCACCCACATAAGACCACTCACAACTGCCTGTAACTCCAGCTCCAGAGGAA